TTATTTGGTGAAACTCGTGATGCAATTCTGCTATTGGTTCGAGGTCACGACTATCTGGTCGCATGTCCATGATGCTGTTTGATTTCTGAAGTTCACTATTGCTCATCTTCCTTGCATTGTGATCTTTCCAGGAAAAATATCAAAAAAATGAAAAAAAACAATTTAGACCGTGAAGTAAATGCCGCGCCGTTTCGTCACATTTTCCATTTTTGCTACTCTACCAAGGATGGGCCAACGGGAAAAGAAACGCAACTTTCGCGATTTTTTGCGATTAGAAGGATAACCCAACAACTCTGAAAAATCAAGGGCCTGAAGATTTTGTCGTGATCTTTACAGGAAAAATATTTAAGAAAATAAAAAAATCATTTGAACCTCAAAATAAATCGCGGGGGTAATTCGACGCATTTTCGAATTTTGCCAATCCACCAGTTCCCCCCACTGTACTACCGGTAGCCCTCATGGACCTGTGCTTCCGGTTCCCCCTAATTTATGACGGCGGGGGTAGTGGTGGTTTCACGGGGACCCCAGTTTCAGCTCCTAACTAACAGGTCCAAAACTGAAATTAGGGTTTGGGGGTCAAATTTTATGTTTTTTTTTTCTTTTCTTTTTTGCCTGTTTTGTTTTGGTTCAAGGTTGTTGTGTACCAAATTTGGCCTCATTTGGAGCATTGGAATTTCCTCTGCTAAGATTTCTGAAACTGAATGTTGGCGAAATTTGCATGAAGTGCACTTTTGCCTTGCTGTTTTATAGTTTGTTTGTTTGTTTGTTTGTTTGTTTGTTTGTTTGTTTGTTTGTTTCCGGTTTTGTTTTTGAAGTTAGTATCTATGATATCTGCTTTATGACTTGGTGGTAAGTTTGGTTAAAATGACCCTTGGATTTTGTTATAAATGGCAGGACAAGTTGTCTGAAAATTAGGGCCTCTGTTAACCGCCTCTCTCGGATGCCTGTGCACCCACGGTCCAATCTTGCCTGGCTTTGGCTTCAAATTGGCCCTCTGTCAACTACTTGGTACTAATCTACTGCTAGTCTGTCACTTCAGAGCTACTGGCTGATCAGGAGACATTTTAAGGAGGTCCCCCATAACTCC